GGAATCCGTAGAAACAAATGTCAATGTCATTTATTGTCATATTAAATAACATTTTATTAAAAAACACTCAACCAAATAGTTGACCTATGATTCTACTAGGCTAAGAAGTTTGGAACTTAGACTAAAAGTGAACAAATGATGAATAATGTTATAACAGTAACAAAAAATAAAAATCTGTCGGATATTGACAATACAATCTACAAAAAATGTTGAAAATGATTGCCTTCAGCTTCAATACAAGCATCTACTCTTGTTCTCATAGAATTGCGTATGCGTTCAAATATTCCTGGTGAATTTTTTATCGTTTCACACCCTGCTACAATGCGGTTTCGCAAATCATTGATATCTTCAACTGGCCTTGAGTAGATCAAAGATTTCAGATATCCCCATATGCAAAAATCCAAAGGATTAAGGTCAGGGGAGCGGGCTGGCCAATTTACATATCCTCCTCGACCTATCCATCGATTGGCATACACCTCATCCAAGTGACGTCTTGCACGTATACTAAAGTGGGCTGGTGCACCGTCGTGCATAAACCATAAACGTTGCCTAATTTGAATGGGAACTTCTTCAAGAATAATAGGTAATTCTTCGAGAAGATGACAATATGAGTCACCATCTAATCGTCGTGGAAGAAAATAGGGACCAATTAAATGATCGTCGATAATTCAGAGCCACACATTTAATGAAAATTGATACTGATGATTTCCTTCAAAAAAGTCATGAGGATTTTCCTCAGCCCAAATATGGTTGTTACGAAAATTTCTAATACAGTCTCTTGAGAAATTCGCCTTGAATTTTTTCGGTGTTATTTAGATACACCCTGTAGACAGTGGAGTATTTGAAAAATGGTTTGCATCCATTTTGCCTGACATCGGTGATTGTCATAGATTACCATAATCGACGATAGAAAAACTGACGATATCTATATGGAGAAAAGGAGAATCATGGAATGATTGAATGAAATGAGAGGAAAAGAAAAAGGAAAATACTTGAAATATGTGGCGGAAGAAATGGCTAGAGGCTAGAGCTCACGCATATTTCTTTGATTGCTGCCATACAACTGTAAGCTGAACTCTATTGGCAAATCCAAATATCCAAATACAAAAATTTATATGGCACGAAATAACACAACTTTTAAATGAGGTGTTAAAGTACTTCTACGGGTAACAATGAATTTGTTAACAACTGTAAAGGCAAGGAACGAGACAAGGAATATCGAATATGGGTTCTCGATATAAGAGTTAAAGTTATAATAAAACCACAGCCTTTAGGCGACACAAGTGATAGTGTTATAGTGACAGTGATAGTGATAACGACAGCGATAATTTGTGATTTTACTAATATTAATAATTTCTAATTTCTTATTGGTGGTATTTTTAGTGGTTTTACTGATTTTATGTTGCCTTATTGTTACAACACTACGAATATAAACTTTTTGTTAAGGCCACTTGACCATTAAATAAAGTCTAATAAATAAAGTAGGCAATACGCAAGTCAAATTTTAGATGAATTCTATTTCATTGACTGCTGCAATCGAGATGAGTGATGTCAAACATCTTAAATTTCTAACCTAATCATTAAATTTAATTTTTAAAGTACTGCCAGATAGATAAAAAAAAGTGATTTACGTTAGCTATTCTCTTGTCTCATTGCATACTAAGTAGGCAGTACCAACAAACACCGATAGTAGTGGTTAATCGCTTAGCAAATTAACAATGCATTTGATTTAATCCCAATAAAGCGCCAAAGCTAATATTTTATAGAATACTTCCACAAATTATGTCAACCAACACAATAATTTGAAATTAAATATTTCAATATTTCTTTTTTTTTCAAAAAAGGATCGTTAATCAAAAAACGACAATATACAAGTTAAATATTTTAAACAACTCTTTTGGAAAACGACGGGAATGATCCTATTATCGACAAATTTCTCTTTAAAGGATTCGCTCTCGAGCTACGACTCCTTCAACAAGCAGTCCAACACCCGGATAGGTCCGAACGCTCACGACGATCTAAAAACCACTCTCTCCAAAATCGACCCGGCAGTGACCAACCTGCAGAACAGCCCTTCCAAGTACGGTTCGGGCCCTAGATGGGAGCAGAACGTTCACCGACACGGGTCGAAGTTGGATCTCAAGTACGGTCTGCCTCCCACCGATCAGCACAGCATGGACAACAGTCCCAGGAATTCCAGGGAAATGGACAAAGAGAGCAGCCCTATGGACGCCGTGTGCCCTAGAGGGTCTGTGGAGAGGGATATGTACAGGTCAGTATAAAAAACGAGCCATTTGTGTGAAATGTACCATGTCCCTGGATAACTAGATGCAAAGAAATGATGTTTAGATAAAAATCAGACAAAAAAAATACTTTCAAAATAATGTACAAGGTGATTTATGAGAGCGTACTACAAAAGTTTGTTATTTTTAATGAAACATCATATACTGGGTGGGGCATATATCTTGAGACAAAATAATATCTCGGTTGGACTCGATTATTTCGAAAAAAGTTTCAGACAAAAATTGTAGGGTTTCGATTGAAAAACGAAAAAAAAATACTTTTTCGATTTAACCCATATTTTGGTCATAAAAAGGCCATTAAAAACAAAAAAAAAATCAAGAATCTTGAGACAACGGAGTACCTTGTTGGGATCACTTTTTTTTTAAAATGTTTCATACAAAAATTGTAGGGGGGAAAGGTGACAATAGGTGACAATAATATGACATATTTCTAACTAAATATTGGTTCTTAGGTATTCAAGATCACCAGCGAAACAGCACGTTCCGGGAAAACCCCATATGGAGACTAAGACTGACTATGGGAAATACAGGTAATATACATTTTTTTATCCGCTATTTTTTATAATATGAAAACAATTCAGAACATTCTTCAAGTCCGGCTTACAAACATGTCACGTTCTTATATTCCAGTCGCAACAATAATTCTTCCCACCACCCGAGCCAGCCTCCCCCGGAATATACGAGGAACTCCCACCAGGATCTCAGGGAATCATCATTGAGCATACACCAGCAGTCGCCGTTGCGTAGCCCTCCGATGCACCACCAAAACGGGTACGACAGCGGTCCTCCCAATCACCTGGGCCCCCCGAACGGCAACACCTACAAGCCCGTACCACCGCCAAAGCCCAAGAATTACAAACCTCCCTATAAGCAAGGCTACGCCGGGGACGGCATGGTGCAACCTCCGCCCGTCTATCAGCACGGGAAGAGTCACAGCAATCCTGTGGTAAGTTTAGAAGTACAGTAAAACCTCTAATTACAATTTTGCTTTTACGAAATTTTACGATGGGGATTTCTTAATATTCACCACCTTTTAATTACCGACCCTTTAAAAAAGAAAGATTCGATTACTTTATTTTTCAGTAAAACACGGAAATATATGAAATTTCCTGTTAATGGTAGACATGCGAGAGGGCACGTGTTTCCGTGCGTGTGTGACAAATTTTCGCGTGAGACGAAACCGGACACGGGAAATCATGCAAGCATGGAAAAATCTATTTCCGTACGTGTAATGAATGATATTTTTTTATTATTCTTCTTTGAAAATGAAAACATAAAAACAAAATACAACATAAAATAAGACATACGAAAGAAACTTGAAACATTTTTAATTTCATATTTTCAACATAAGAATAAAAAAACATGTAAAGAAGTGTAATAAAAAATGTGTTTCATTATTTACCCCCACCTCAAAGTAATGGACACCCCTATAAACCGGACTTTTTTTGGAATCCTTTGCTATTAGAAAGTTACACTGTATACACTTTTTTGTGTTTCATAAAACTTTTTCATTTGTAGGACCAGCGCAATCAGAACATGAACCTGTCCCCCCACCACAATTACTACTACAACAGCCCGCCGAATCATAACTCGTACCACACGGAAACGGCCATGCGCTACCCGGGCCACTACGACATGGCACCCCCCTACCAAGAATCGCCCAGGAGGCACCCGAGCATATCGTACGCCAGCAGAAGCGAGATCACACCCATCGCTCACCAGCACGAGAATCCGTACGGCATGGAACATCATCCGGGTGAAATTTTGGACGCTAGGCCACCCGTCGTCGATCTTCAGGGGTCTAGGGAGCAGAGGGGATCGGCGTTCGAGCTGTACCGCAAGCCCGTCGGGCATAACATGAGGTATGTAGTTCCGCTTTTTTGTTGTCCGTTTCGTTATTTTGTATATAATTTAGAGTTTCGGTATCATTTTTGTGAATGTTTTTCTGCTAGGAAGAAACGCAAATTACAATTTGAATTTTTTCGATTAAAAAAAAAATTGCACCTAAAAAGTTTTGAAAAATGTTTTAAGTAATCAGAGAAAGCTTTGAAAATTAAAAACGATTACATTTTTCTGAGACTATGTGTTCAACATATTTTTTTCACAAAGTTAAATGGAGAATGAAATTTGTCGGTATTTTTTTATTTTTCTTGTATCTTCTCAGTTGGATTTGTAAAGTGACGTTTTTATGAAAAACATGTATTTTGAATTTGTTCAATTTAAATCTCATAGCGGGTAGGTCAAATAATGAGTAGTTCAAAGTGTTAAAAATATTATTTCTTTCTTCTTCTTCCTTTCCTTTGGCCAATCTAATTGAGGTTATATTCACTTAAAAAACACAAGTGTTGTCTTTATCTCATTTTAAAATAAATAATAATGAAAATACAAAGAAAAATGTGAAGAAAAGAAAATAAAGCATGTTCGTCGTAATTTGAGGGCGAATTAACTGTATATATCCTGTTGTAAATAACATTTCACAAAAATGCATACTCCGTCCAGCTAGAACTTAGTTTTATAGCATTGTTTTGCGAGTATGTACACTGGTTGCATTTTCCCATTTATTTGTATATATTCTTTGCTCTGCGTTTTGTATTGTATGTAACGATTTGTTTCTGCTTAGGATACACTACTCGTATATGTTGGACTTTTAAATGTAACGTATTGGTATGTTTCAAACTGTTTGCCGTTGTTTGTTTGTTGTTGTATATTTACTTGGATTGTACATTTAAAAATCTGCTATGAATTGTTTTATATTAACCGATTGACTTTTTTAATAACTAGAATCGATTCGAATACGATTTGTGTATATGGGATGATTTCGTAAGTGCTGCGGAAACATTCTTATGGAGATTCCTTTGCAAAATAAACATGGTGTCTGAAAATGCTGACTTATATTGATGACATATTAGCTAAAAATTCACCGAATTCAGATATAAATGTAAATTGTGTCGATCAGTCGTGGAGATGCAGGTGGGTCATTATTAGTAAGGACGCCAGAAAATTAATGTCTTTATCTTACAGAGGTATTTCTGAGAAAAAGGTCTGTTCCATTTTATTCCAAAAGCGGGAGTTTCCAAGTTGTTATTTTTCTTACTTTATCGTTACCAACCACTTCAGTAAATCTAAATTAACTTTAGAACTATTCATTTTGCAAAAAAGTTCTTAAAATTGTTATTTCGATTTATTGAAGTACGAGGCATATCCACAAATTCCACAAAGGTGCTCAATTTTTTAAAAATCAAAGTGGCAGTATATGAAAAATTTACATATTTAGAAAGGTACATCACACTATTTTCCGATGTAGTTGCCTTCAACTTCAATGCACTTTGTGAACCGAGGGAAGAACTTTCTGATACTTTCGTCGAAAAACCATTCTGTTGGCTTTCTTTTGATCCGTGAGCTGTTTTAGTACCCGCTTTGCACACAATTTTCAATAACTAAGTGTTTCAGTAATAATTTCATGCTGAAGAGATCTGGAGATTTATAGAAACAGTGCGTTCATCTCGTCCAAAGTCAATTGATGGTCGCCACAAAGCAATTCTTCAATCTCATAAGTCACTATTGGGAGACCTCCACTCCTTTGTTCATCATGAACATTCGTTCTGCCAGCTTTAAACTCACGACACCACTTGTGTACACATTAGTACTATTCATCACACCATCCCCATAAATAGTTTTGATTTCATTATAAATCTAAAAAGGTGCCTTTCCCTTTGCAAGAAGAAACCGGATTACGTTCTTCACCTCGCAGCTGGCGGGATTCGGAATGGCGGTACTCATTCAACACGCTACTACAACAGCAGTTCTCAACTGACTGAGACAAATCGGTGTGCGTTCTGCTCCCAACACCTTCCCCTCGAATGCAGTGTTACCAACTTTATTGAAATCAAAAACCACAAAGTATCAGAGTCTCAGTACTTTCACTTTGTGGATATGCCTCATGTATGTACTTGGTAACAGTAATGTAAAAAAAATAATTTTTGCATATGGAACAAATCTTTTTTTAGAAAAAACACTGGAACTTACAAATTTTCAAAATACCTTCAATTTGGTAAATTACCAGCTCTGTACATTAAACTTCAGAGACATTTTAGAAAATATTTTTTTTTTTCAATTTGTTTCAAATTCTCAGATTGCAACACCTTTTATTTTCAAAATGAAGCTATTCCAGACACATGTTTAAAGAAACCCTTTCCGCAAGGAATCTCCGCATACATTTTTTGTAATATTAACGAATCACCCTGTATATTGCATATTATGCATGCTTTTTGTTATTTAGTGTGATGTAAATATTTTATTTGTGGTGCCTCCAACTCTTAATCTTAATATTTTCACTTGTTACAACAATGCATATTGAATATTTCAAAATATTATGTCCAATAAGTATGTCTGTCATGGGGATATCGAAAACAATAGTAACGGTCAAAGTAACATTTCCTTGAGAGAATACAGAAAAAGTGTCCCACGAGGAAGAATTCTAGTGGGCGAAATATAACTTACAGGGTACCTAAGTCTTCACCACCTTCATCTTAAATGTCATTACTAGTCAATATCTACTAGTCCAAAATAGTGCTTTGTACCTACTGACAGAGAATTTATGATTATAACCAAGTTCTTTCGCTTGTTATCTTTAGATTATAGTTTGTGATCAGAGCAGCCTTTTCGATGATTTTAAAAACTTATCATGATTTTAAAATTCGACCAATCAGCTGCTCTGATTTCAGGGTATAACATGAAAATTATGTGCGAAAGAGTTCGCCTGTTGTGGGAAACAACTACTATGCCAGTCACATGCCCCGTTCAGCATTGAATTACACACCCAATGTCTAGTAAAATATTTGTCAGCAAAATCATCATGGCAATCATCGCATTAGTCATGCCTTCATAGTCTTACAAATTTTGAAGGCCGCTATTTGTGGGAAACAATACTTTGTCAGTAGCAGTGGCATTTAATAGAGATTATATCTAAAAAAAACAGGGTTAAAAGGAACTATGACATTCAAGTTATATTTTATTGCATGAATCGTTCAAAGGATAATGAAAAAACCGCGGGGTGTTATTAAATTAGAGGGAGGAAATTGGAGAATGGTGAAAATGCACCCCTTTCAGTTTTTTAATTGTAGCTCGAAAACGAAGCAAAATTTCGCTATAGTTCATAAAATGTTGTAGAGAATTCAATTTCCCATCGAAATGGCTTATTTAAAAAATTTAAAAGGAAAATATTATGCAAAAAATCGTTAATAAACAATTTGAAAACAAAGCAAAAATTCGATTTTTTTTATTTTTTTTCTTTGCCTCTAGTTTTTTTTTTGAGTAAAGAGGTATCGACATTGCTTCATAGAAAAAAAAGTAGATAAAGTTTCCTTCAAAATAAGAGGTTGTAAAGTATTTTTGGATGAATATTGACTGATATATGGCCGCTCAAACTTACAATTAACCAATTTTTCAATTTTCGTCGCGTTTACCCTTATACACTTTAATTCACATTTTTTTTTGCAAAAAAGGAAGGAAATAAGACGTTCAAGTATTTTCATCACATGACTTGTTCGAAGGGCCATTAAAAATGAAAAAGCTGTGGGATGCTATTAAATTAGAGGGTTGAAATTGAAAATAGGGGTGAAAATGGACTTCAGTTTTTTAAATATAGCACCAAAACGAAGCAAAATTTCGGTATAGTTCATAGGAAAAATTTTGAAGAGAATTGAATTTCCCATCGAAATGGCTTATTAAAAAAAATTAATAGGAAAATTTTATNCGCAAGGAATCTCCGCATACATTTTTTGTAATATTAACAAATCACCCTGTATATTGCATATTATGCATGCTTTTTGTTATTTAGTGTTATGTAAATATTTTATTTGTGGTGCCTCCAACTCTTAATCTTAATATTTTCACTTGTTACAACAATGCATATTGAATATTTCAAAATATTGTGTCCAATAAGTATGTCTGTCATGGGGATATCGAAAACAATAGTAACGGTCAAAGTAACATTTCCTTGAGAGAATAAGTGTCCCACGAGGAAGAATTCTAGTGGACGAAATATAACTTACAGAGTACATATGCCTGTACATCTTAAATGTCATTGCTACTCAATATCTACAAGTCCAAAATATTGCTTTGTACCTACCGGCAGAAAATTTATGTTTATAAGCAAGTTCTTTCACTTGTTATCTTTAGATTATAATTTGAGATCAGAGCAGCCGTTTCGATGATTTTAAAATTCGACCAATCAGCTGCTCTGATTTCAAGGTATAACATGAAAATTATGTGCGAAAGAGTTTGCCTATTGTGGGAAACAACTACTATGCCAGTCACATGCCTTCAGCATTGAATTACACACCCAATGTCTAGTAAAATATTTGTCAGCAAAATCATGATGACAATCATCGCATTAGTCATGCTTTCATAGTCTTACAAATTTGTAGGCCGCTATTTGTAGGAAACAATACTTTGTGTAATAGGGACTATATCCAAAAAAAAACAGGATTAAAAGGAACTGTGACGTTCAAGCAATTTTATTGCATGAATCGTTCAAAGGGTAATGAAAAAACCGCGGAGTGCTATTAAATTAGAGGATGGAAAATGGAGAATGGTAAAAATGCACCCCTTTCTGTTTTTTAATTGTAGCTTGAAAACGAGGCAAAATTTTGCTGTAGTTCATAGGAAAAATGTTGTAGAGAATTGAATTTCCCATCGAAATGGCTTATTTAAAAAATTTAAAAGCAAAATTTTATGCAAGAAATAGCTAATAAATAATTTGAAAAAAAAAGCAAAATTATACGTTTTAATTCTCATTTTTTGCAACAAATTAAGGAAATAAGACGTTCAAGGATTTTCATCACATGACTTGTTCGAAGGGTCATTAAAAATAAATAAACTGCGGGGTGCTATTAAATTAGAGGGTTGAAATTGAAGATAGGGGTGCAAATGCACTTTTACAGTTTTTTAAATATAGCACGAAAACGAAGCAAAATTCTGATATAGTTCATAGGAAAAATTTTGTAGAGAATTGAATTTCTCATCGAAATGGCTTATTTAAAAAATTTAAAAGAAAAATTTTATGCAAAAAATTGTTAATAAACAATTTAAAAAAAGATTTTTTTTTACTTTTTTGACTCTTATTTCCTTTTTAGTAGAAGTAGGCAATGAAAATTGCTGTACAAAAAAACTAGATGAGATTCCCTTCAAAATGATGCGTTTTCAAAAGTTTTTGGACTAATATTGAGTTATAACCGGTCAAACTTAAATATTTTTAAGATTTTCGTCGTTTTTAACATAATGATTATAATTCTTATTATTTTTACAACGAAGTGGTTCTTTACTTAATAAAAAATTATTTCAAAAGTTTTATTTGTTAATAATAATTCAAGATTTTTACAACTTGGAGTCAAAAAAGTAAAAAACAAAAAATCTTAAATTTTGCTTTTTTTTAAATCGTTTATTAACGATTTTTTGCATAAAATTTTCCTTTTAAATTTTTTAAATAAGCCATTTCGATGGGAAATTCAGTTCTTTAAATAATTTTTCCTATGAGTTGTAGCGAAATTTTGCTTTGTTTTCGAGCTACAATTAAAAAATTGAAAGGAGTGCATCTAATTTCCGCCCTCTAATTTAATAGCACTCCGAGGTTTTCTCATCTAAAATTACCGTTTGAATGATTCATGTAATAAAATATCTTGAACATCCTAGTTCCTTTTAAAATCCTATAATCAATAGTCTATAAGGAAGGAAACCAGGAGACTGATTTTCAGGCGTTCTTCATGAATTTTTTCGAATGGGACAAATTTATTAGAATTTGATCAAACTTTGATATTACTTTATCAATATTTTCAACTACATTTAGAAATTTTCTGAAGTCATTTATCTTGAAAATGGTGAAGTTATGGACTGTTAGTTGTCCACCGAAGGTCTTCGTCCAAGTTATTTGTTCACAGAAAATGTGGAGGTCGCAATTTGAATCTGAAAGCAAAATGGTTGTTTTCATTTGTTATTAACGTATTTTCTAAAAACACGAACCTCATTGCGGGTAGAAATCGAGAAAATTGAAATTTTGACAAGTGTGAAAAAAATGTATCGATTTTCACAATTTTTTTTTCCACTTATTATGAATAAAAGACCCTTAAAATTATAATATCATCCCAATTGATGGTTCATGTTCTGTGTAATTTCATAAAGAAACACACTTTTAATTTTCATAACGATCGGTTCATAACTTTCTAAGTGAATCAAAAAAGTGTCATTTCGAGAAAAATGCATTTGAAAATTTCGGAAAACTAAAAATTTGAGAAAGATCAATAATATAGGGTGTCTCATAATTAGCTGCCAACCCTGAACAGGCCGATTCTATGATAAAAACTAAGTAAAAAAGTTCATATGAACATGGGTCCGGAAATGCTTCCTAAGGGCACAGGGNTTGAGAAAATTGAAATTTTGACAAGTGTGAAAAAAATGTATCGATTTTCACAATATTTTTGTTTCACTTATTTTGAATAAAAGATCCTTAAAATTATAATATCATTCCAATTGATGGTTCATGTTCTGTATAATTTCATAAAGAAACACACTTTTAATTTTCATAACGATCGGTTCATAACTTTCTAAGCTAGAGTGAATCAAAAAAGTGTAATTTCGAGAAAAATGTGTTTGAAAATTTCGGAAAACTAAAAATTTGAGAAAGTTATCAATAACATAGAGTGCTTGCCAATTAATCAGCGATTCCTGAGCTTGCATTTGTTCTTTTGTGCTTCATAAGTGGCCAATATTGGAACAAATAGAAATTTTGTTTTGAAATTTTGGCAGCGTATTCTTGAATAGTTATGCTAACTGTTTAGGCAATAAAAAGAAACTGATTTTTTGATTCTTGTAATATGGTTTCTCCCCTTAAAGTATAATATACTTGCAGGTTGTATCTCACCCACACTCAAAATAGTTAAATTCCTTCTCAGTCGTATCTCCCATGGCATACTATTAAAAAAACCAGTCTGTGTTTGGTGATTCTGCTGATAAATGATCTAGCTACTTGCCAGAAATTGTGGGTTAATGGCGGACATATCATTAGTTAAAAACTATTCTTGTTTTTGCTCTGGCTCTGCTTATATCTTAACGTTGGACAAAAATACAGCAGAAAATCAAAAAATGCGATGAGGACGATCGCTCCCCTAAATGGTCCAAAAAAGAAATCAAGGATCAAACAGAATAAATTAATTAAGATTAACATTTTTTGCGTCTCAGTTTTCTCGACTACATAACTTTTTTTTTTTTAGTCAAATAAATCAATTGTACAAACGCCCCCCTCAAAATCCACCTCTTGATCCACCACAGTCTGCTTAAATTTCAATGGACCCTTGTGGTGAAACCATATTTAACATTGATTTTATAACCTACGCTATCAGATAAGTCAAAGTAAGGGCTGACGTTTGCCCACAAATTTTATCGTTTGTAGGCCGTCGGGATGCTGGGGCCATTACGATCGACACCTTCTGATCTAACGCAGATCTAAATTACGCATTTATTATTATTATTAATGACAAATAATACTTTTATTACCCTGTTAAGTAACAATTTGGCTCTTTTTAAGGCATGCTTTCTTAGATCCGACGGTGATTGCGCTGCCCCCTGGCAATAATTAGACAGACCCTCTTGTCCAACATTTATTTTTAATGAGGCAACTGGAATATAGTTAACGAGAAAAAATTCCTCATATTAATTATTAATAAGTTATAAAGGGCATTGCTTTTGCATGTAAGTTGTGATTTGTTTAATTTTACAACTATTTGGGAACACTTTACATAACCTAGTAAAATTTGTATTAGATTTAGATGCCCATCGCATGTAAGGGTTGTTTAGTGTGTAACTTTAATTTTCTTTGTACGCTAATTGTGTTAAAAATACTCAAATGTAAGGAATTAAAAGCACGTTGAAATAATGATTGTAGCGTTACGAGTTCTAATTCTGCTGCCACTAATGTATTTTGTAGTGCATAAACCTTCTAGCGTGCATGTCTCTTCCAGAGTAGTTCTAAACCACGTTTCCTATACTGCTCCCACCTTCAACCCCCCCCAAAAAGGCGAACGATGCAACGGGACTAAAATACGTTTTTATCATTCAGGGGCTTGATGGATCAGCCGGCTTTTTATGGATCTCAGCCTAACATAGCCCAAAAACTAAACACGTCGTCCGCTACTAACTCGCCAAAAATAACGCCCAAACTAACAAAAGCCCAGTCGTTTAAGCACCAGAAAAGTGAGGGCTTCATCACCCCCAAACTGTTCCGCAAGCTGTCCTTCACCAGGAAGAGCAGGGAGAGCACGCCCAAGATGAACAAAAAGTTGTCGTTGCAATCGGAACCCATCAACGAGAACCAGGTGGTGCAGGATTTTAATAGGAACGCTCAGGATTTCTCGAGACCCAGCAAGAGGGATATCACGTCGGCTATTGTTGATCACAAAGGGGCCGTTTTGGTTAACGAGTACTGGGGTGTGTCGTTGGAGGTACCCGAAGGCGCCATACCCAAGGGACAGGATAAACAGATCTATTTCGTTATTTCCGATCCGAGGTTGTGCGACAATGCCCCGCCGCTAGATCTCGATAACGGTAATTGTCTGAGGGATATCTGTGTTAGTTTAGGAGGGTTAAAATCTTAGGAGGGAAGCTTGAGTCGCATTAAAAAAGTATTCCTTTGATTTTACTTTGGCAGTTAAGGGGTTGTTGTATTGTTGTATACCAGTGTACATACTTAATTTTCATTAGTTTTCCGCTAATTATTTTATTGGATTTGCAGGTGAGACAATGCTGTCGCCTCTAGTTATGTGTGGACCGCAAGGTAAGTTTAACGTTTTTTTCCATATCTGAAGTGTCTGATTACTACTTGATACTAGTGATTGAGTCAGTTTGTAACAGTGTTGCCACCGTTGATTTTGCATTAAATTTAAAGGATTAAAAAACCATATGGTGCGTTTTGAAGGGAAAAAAAATGTCGCGTGACGAGACTCAAACCAGCGATCTCGTCACTGTCGGAACCGAACGCTAGCAACTAGGCCACGCTCCCAGTTGAAAAATTTGTCGCATCTAGTGGATTTAGGTGACAGGTTAAACTTCAAAATTGATGATCTCGGTAATTTATGAACGTTTCGTCGAACTTTGGAAAATTCTTATTCAAGGTCTAAACTATACATACCATAAATATCAAAAATTACAAAAATCCGATTACCTTGCCTTCTCCTTGTGAGATTTATTTTTGTAGCTAATACGAAATTATGGTAAAAAAGATATTTTATGTTATTCTCCTGACACATGATAAAAATTTGGGAAAATATACAGGGTGTCTACTAAACATTGGGAAATGTCGCAGCTGGAGATAGTGGCGGCCAAATTAAGTCGATTGAGACAAATATGCCTCATGCCTTCGATGTTTGAATTTTGTTTTGAAATTTCTCAATAATTTTGAAAATTGTCGTAGTATGAACAAAAAAATTGGCACTATTATGTTTTTTGACGTGACAAATAAGGATTTTTAACTAATTTTGGCGTCAGTTATGCCCTATTCCTTTGATAAATAAGAGAAATTTTTTTGCCTTTAGAATTACGGACATTATGTATTGAAAATGTAAAAAAAACGTCCTTCGTTTCATAAAAAAGTTACTCTTGTTCGTTTTCGATATCTCCCTTGGTTATTGAGATATTTGCATATACAAATTTCAATGCATTCTGTTTTTAAGCAACTTTTAGGATTAGTTTAAGGATTAAAGTTGCTTAAAAACGAAATTGAAAAAAAATTGAAATTTGTATATGCAAATATCTCAATAACCAAAGGAGATAACGAAAACAAACACGAGTAACTTTTTTTTGATACGAAGGACGCTTTGTTCATAATGTTAAGGAATATTCATCTCCAGACAGGGCGAACTGGAGGCACTCTGTATATCGGCGTTTTATAAACTAACGCCGGATAACCAAAACAAAAGGAGATAAAGCGTTTGGGCGACACCCGGTGAAGAGGCATAAGATAGGATTAGTCAGATATGAATGTTTGAAGCGGTCACATACAGTCTGTTCACTTCCTATAAATTTTTATTAATAAAAGTGTATAATCGAATTATTAACTAACATTTGTTTTAACATATCAGAAGCGGGATTCGTACTGTTCATATTTTCAATACACAATGTCCATAATTGTAAAGGTTAAAAAAAAATTCTCTTATTTATCAAAGGAATAGGGCATAACTGACACCCTATACAAGCAACGCCAAAATTAGTTCAAAAATTCTTATTTGTCTTGTCAATAAACATAATACTGTCAATTTTTTGTTTATACTCTGACAATCCTCAAAATTAATGAGAAATTTCAAAATAATTTTCAAACATTGAACGCAGCAACATTTGGATAGGGCATATTTGGCTCAATCGACTTATTTTGGCAACCAGTGTCTCCAGCTTCAAGATTTCCCAACTTGTGCGAAAGCAGACACCCTGTATAAAATATAGAAGTCCAAATATCGATTCTGATACTCGGGTTAAATAGAGGTACCAGTCAACTGCTGTGATACCACTGTTACCACTTTATAAAGCCACTATAATTGAAGGAAATGGAAGGAAACCATCATTGCTAGAATGGTTGATTTGTAACAAATGATTACTTGATTTTGTGTTTGCAAAACATTGTAAAAGTAGTTTATACACCTAAAATACCATTCAAATCAATATTTGAAAATTTACACTTAATATTTTACAGATATTTGCTAAAATAACTGTTGGCATTTATTAAACCATTATTTGCTAATCTCTGGAATGATAATGTTATGTTATTTTTAATATTCAACTAGATTTTATTTAATTAACAGCTCTTAATAGTTGTTAGCCTTATTTACGTTTGTCAGTTTAGTGGATCAAATCATGATGGAATTGCTCATAAAAGTACTTAAAGCAGTTAAAGTAAGATTGACGCTTGCCCAGAAATTTTGAAGTTTCTAGGCCGTCAGGATCCAGGAGGCACTGTTTTTTATATTTATTACTTTTATTTCCCATTATAACAGTTTGAGTAACAAATTGCTTCTTTTTGAGCCACCGTCTCTTATGTCTGTGGGCATCGATTGTGCTGCCACCTGGCGAATGAAAAAAATATGATCACAACACCCTATTTTGTGATGTAGTAGTTCAAAAGTTAAAAAATACCCCATTATGTATGTCCATTATGTATGTTATGTCCTAAGGACATAATAATCTTTTTTACGGAGTCTTCATAAACTATTACAAGTAGCTTGACCAGTAACTTTATTTCCTTCACGTTGGCAATAAAATTTCGGTAAAATTATATCAATAAGATCAAGTTGCATTAAATCACAATATTCTGTTTCACCGGCTGATGATTGGTGTAATTTTTCACGAGATTTGGTTCAACCAATCAGCGATCGCACTATTTCGAGAGTAGATGTAACAGATTGTCACTGTTCATTATAAACTAATCATTAATATTTGATGACGGTAAGATTTAAGGATTTTTAATTGACAGTACCAGCCGTGCAGTGTTGGTTGCCTAAAAGCCGTTTTACATTGGCAGTTTATCGATGAATTAATTCATGAAGTCGCTTCATCAAGAAATTAGAGGTGTAATGCACCAAATCTGCCGTCAAATATCTTCATGAATTTATTCATCAAGTTCTTGACGAATTTGAGCATGTTTTAATTTTCGTCAAGTTCAGAAGTACCAACCCAACAAATTTCCAGCCTCAGGTCAGTAATGAGGTTATGTTATTGGAATATGTAAATAATTGTGTGGCGTCGTACTATAGTCTGTTTAGAAATGAAAGAGAGTAATAAAAGCTCATTATGTATGCAAATCGTAAATAAATGTAGTACTGGTGCTTATATTCAATATTTTTATATTATGTTTTATCTGTATAGAAGAGGTGTACTTTTAACAAAACTTTGTGCGATCGGACTGTACTAAATTGTAGCAGGTAGCTAAAATTTAATCCCCGACAATCCGTCTTTGTCTATGCCGCTTCAATTTCTCGGTCCATTTCTCTTATAAGTAAACAATATAAAAACAGCATTTCAAAACATGAGGCTACTTTAAGCATCACAACCGGGTTACGAGGGTTTTTAGTAATTCAAATAAAATTATTCAATATTATTATCAAAATATTTATTTAAATTTAATGAATAGACTTTTATTCCACACAAAAATATATGTATTTTGAAAATTCAAAGTAAATGTAGTGTTGTATAAATGTACAATAAAGAAAATAAAAAAGTAGGTGTATTAAAATTCATCCTCTGGATATTCTGATGAATTATCTTCGTCTCCTAGATTGATAACGATAGGTTCCACAGTAACGTGAATTAAATTATCGAGTTACCACATTTTCTCCTCTTCTTTTTGTACATGATGTATACATCTTTGCCAGTTATCTGCAGTTACTCGTTCCAAGGAATTTTTTAACAAAATTTTTACGTCACTTAATTTAAACGTCGTATTATTTTGCGCTACATCTCCTTTTACCTGCACCCAGACTAATTCGATTGGGTTAAGTTCACAGTGATAAGGTGGTAACCGTAGTACCGTTATTTGGCGATTTGTTGCCATTTCATCGATAACATATTTTTTCATATCTATTAAGAGTATAGTTTTGTATTGTTTTTACTGATTTGTTACTTACAAAAACTAATATTTATATGTCAATACGGTACCACTGTTGTATCACTACAATTATGAGTGGAAAGGTGGTCTCGGCGGTCACGTATGCGGCTTGTAATCATTTATGAAGGCCCTGCTAATGTCTCGGGGTACAATATTAGTGTTGTAAATTATAAATCCCTTATTTACACAATTTTACAAAAAAATCTAATTAAATTGTATTTTTTAGGTACTGAATTTCTAAAGCCTGTGATTCTGAATATTCCCCACTACGCCAACACCCTCCCGAGTCTAGGTATAAGTTTGAAAGCGACGGATTCAGAGCAAGACATCCACACCGACTGGGATAACATCCTATTGCCGAGCAACCACGCCGCCAACAGCGTAGCGGTCAAGGTCGATCATTTTTAAATTTGTTACTTAATTTTTATTTTTGCTCAATTGTAGCTTTGTTAAAATTTGCGCCACTTTAGAAATTTTATGGACTGAATTTAGAAATTTTAGCGAGCTGTTTATATTCTAGTTTAATAATTAATGTAAATATCGGCGTTTAGATCTGTTTTTATTCAACGAACATGTACTTTGCAATATTTCTTGTGATCTGCTTTGAACTTTTAAGTACGTTACTTATAATTGTTAATAGTTTTTAGTCGTTAGGGTATTATGTTTTTATTTTTAAAACTATTGTAGGGTAACCCTTGTATTTTATTCTAAGTTTTTATGCTCATTTATAGATTATATATAAATTATAGAATATTTTTTAATATGTCCTTGTTTTCCTTTTCCCCTGCCTCTCGGTTTGAAATATATAGGGTGTTGCTGAAACATTTTGTCTTCATAGATCTGCCAATAGATGGCACAACGATCTATGCAAAATTAGAGTTACCGAATTGAGCACAACCTATCTACGAGTAATAGCCCGAACGTGGCGTCGGTTGACAAATCAGAATTGAATACAGTGAATATATGGTTGCATAGCTTATGACAGCGGATTCAAGATATAACCGGTAATAACTATATGCAACCAAACATACACTTGGCCCGAACATGGCGCTCTTTTAGTTCTTGTGTTGATCAACGATCTCGATAGTTATTTTCTCTGCAATTTCGAAGATTTGTATTGGAATAAAAAGTCGAGGAGGTTTTTATGGTAAAATTGCTCCCGATATTTTAAAATATAACTGCCATAATATTTTGTGGAACAAGATTGTTGAAGAGGGTATTTATATGAAAGTTGCTCGATATTTTCGAATTTCAGATTTGTATCAGGAAAGCAGAAGGTCAAGGAGGTATTTTATAAATCGCTTTAATTAAAATATTTTCTGTACAACTCTGAAGAATTGTATCAGGGGAACAGAAGGTTGAGAAGGTCTTTACAGAAAAATTGCTAGATACTTTCGAATTTAATTTTCAAATATTTTGCCCGTTCTTTAAAATTTGTATCAGGAGAGCAGAAAGCAAAGGAGGTATTTTTTATGAATCACTCTATTTTCCCTATAATTCTGAAGATTTGTATCACGAGAGCAGAAAGCCAAGGAGGTATTTACAGAAATCAGTATTGATATTTTCTAATATCATTTCTTAAAATCATTTATTTGAAATTTTGAATATTTGTGTCAGGAAACGAGGGAGTATTTACACAAAAATTGCGTTACCAAAGCAGTGTGATTTTTTAGTTGCTTATTTTTGTAAGTAATTGTAAATAAAACGCAAATTATTTTTTATTCTTATAAATTAAAATAGTAAAAATCATAAGTACAAAATTGACCGTTAAAACTAAGTTGCATAGTAAAAGATGTAAAAAAAAATTCATAGTATTATTCGGACCATAAAACTAGACACTTACCCCAACTATTCGGTAGACATCGATATGCACAGAGAGTATTTATGTACAGCCTTTCTCTTTTTGAGAGGGAGTAGTTTGATACAAGTTTGACTAAAATGGAATGTTTGTCTTGAAAATATTAGCAAGTGTAAAATAAGAATAGCAGTATTGCCAGAATTAATTTAGACCTTAGTTTCATCGCTACGGAAGAAGAGAAGAAAGGCATTTTCGTTCTTGAAGTGCACTGGATGCTGCCTTTGGTTTTGTAATCCTCGAAATTCGGCAGATTCTCAATGTTCTCTACCGGAAAAAACAAAAGCATAAAATTTACGATTTAAAAAATATATATTTTACTTACGATAGCAAAACTGTCGTCCCTCATTCTGCAAAAGGTAAGATGCGGCTCCTCCGTTTTCTTCATGAAGATGGTCTGGTTATAAGGAATATTCTTCGCATTCTTAACTTCAAGCGGCTCTTTAATCACCAACTTGTCTGTTTTGCATTTGACCGTTCTCGCCCACGATGCTGTACTCTTTGGCATTCCTCAAGTCCATTATGGCCTCATGTTGGCTTCTGGGAACATTTTGTCGCCTGGGCAATTCTCAAAAGGTCTGGGCGTTGTACTTGTCTTGGTTTCACTCTCCATCCTTAAATGATACGATTTATATTGTCAATGTCATTTAGTTGGTCATAGAAGTCACAACCGACCTCAAAAAACATGAAAGAGATTATAAAATGAACTCTAAACCCTTGCTAGAAAACCAAAATTAACAGATACAAAAAACAATATTTATAAACCAATTCAACTAAATCATTAAGTATCTGCAATGGCATAAATAAAGAATACGATGGAAATTATTTTGGATAAATTCACAGACTTTTTAAATATAATCAATCAGATTTACACGTTTAATTCAAATAAACTAAACTTTTTGCCAAATACTTTTATGAATTTCATGGAAATTACCGACAATTTATGAGGAACAATTACTTACTTTCTCTCTAGCAGCACCTGTTCTACCTCTACCATGTCCTTCCCACAGAAATGCCTTATGTTCAGCGTCTCGAAAAAGTATTATACCAGTGGCTTGGAGTAACACCCTGCCAACTGGGTCCTCGGGTAATGTAACACGAAAGCTATAGGCACATCCCTCTCCCGTCGGTTGATCTACTTCTATTGGCGGTGGAGGGTGAGGCAGGTACATTCGGTTATAAGACTGTCACCGGGTAGGATAGGCATATCCTGGGAGACGGAATAGGACTGTTGAAAGTTGAAGTCGTAGCGATCGTCCTAAAATAAATAATAAAAAAAATTAAGGTGTTGAACCTTTAAATTGTTTTATTATAGCGAACGTCGACTACAAAAAAATAAGTGAAATAAATACCTGAGTTCAAGACGATAATTCTTCTCTGGCCCTTATGTAGCGCGACTTCAGTTTTCGTCCCGCTAGGTAAGAGTGCAGCACGTTCTTACCGTCTTTCAGAAATACCTAAAAATTACATCGTTATATCACGAAATTTCAATTATTTGAACTCCTTACTTCTCTGGTACATCCGACACTGCAATAACCGGCAGTTTCCTTCTCCTTCTGGTACGGTGGGATGAAATGCAAGGTAGAAAGACCCAGACAATACTATCTTCGTTCTTCCTAAGCTTATGACAATAGTACGTACGTTACATTATTATATTACAAAAAAAAAGTTGAGACAAAACCGCCTTTAGAGTAAAACTTTAATTTTTTGTCAAATTTTCATGGATTTTCTCAAAAAGTTTTAGGGTTTAGAAATATCTGAAAAAATTCCGGTAGACAATGACGACCCTAATCAACCCGAAACTGCATTCAGTTCGTCTGCCATCTACCAACACTTTAGTGAATTATTCAGTACACGAAGGTGGCGCCACTGATTTCTTGCAGGTTGGGGACCAGACTAAACGACAGTATCTATAAATTAATGCGTTTATTTGTTGTTTTGACACATAAAATTCAGAAATATATATTTATGAAATAATTTGTGTATATTTATAATATAGCTATATAAACTTATGTAACACACACAAACTTATCTAGCTCCTTAAAACTACAGTCAACAGCATTCTTACATATTTTGAGATCACAAAATATATAATTCAATAACAAATTTAACAATTTTTCAGTTAAATTTCTCCGGGATACGTCTGCTTAGTTAGCGTATTGCTAGTGATCCAAAAAATGGCAGTTCAAAGATTATTAAAAATTTAGGAACAATTTCGAATTTAAGTGCTCTAAAGAACAAGCAACTGGGCAGACATATCCCATGAAATTACAATTTTGTACAATTTTCAGTTTATGGAAAAGCTGCCACAAATTAAAGAAACGGACAAAGTATTCATCTTAGAGAGGGGGAGGGGGGGAGGGGAATAGAATTTGAAATACTGAGAGACGAAACTATTAAAATCAAAATTATCACATTATTTTCAACAAAAGAAAATATAAAAATATCTATTTTATAAAATTAAATTTAAAGATTTAACAAAAATAATCATGCATAAAATAAAGAACAAGCTAAAAATTAATAGAATAATTTAAATATATGTATATATACTATATATATATTTATTTATGGTTTCGTATTCCTCATAAAAACCACTCACGCTACTCGCTTATAACTGGAGGTATGCCTTTTTTATGTCCAAAATTACAGTTCCAACTCTTAATAATTTCTGATATGCGTCCCGCGCATTTTTAAACTCTATATACAAAAAATTTGATTGTATTTCGTAATACCTGAGATAATATTCCAAAAAGTTTGGTCGCCGTTAAAAATGCAATTAGGGACAGAAAAGTATTGCCATTCGCTCGGTCGCCTAGCACACACTAAAATCCGCACGGGGCGCCCCACAAAATGGAAAGTGTAGTTCTCTCTGCTTGCATTGTTTCTCTTTATGAGGACCCCGCCAGCTAAGATTATTATATTCAGGTGCTGCGCACCAAAATTTGTACTTTAAATCCATTAGAAAATATTACCAAGTAACAATTTTTCAATAATCATAAATTAAAACAACCATAACAAGAACAATTTTGAGAAAAAATCTAACAACTATGTTTTCGTAAAACATATAAATCCTACATAGCGAAATGTACAAAAGCGATTCCAAATTAAAAAAAAATCTCTAGTGCGTTCCTTTAATAAACTATGACTAAGTTGTAGTACGAGACCTCGAAGGTATTCTTTTTACAATATTTACAAACACTTTTAAAGCGAAACAACTAATATAGTATGGAGCAAAATTTACATCAGTTCAGAAAACTCGATAATTGACGTCTTTTACAAAAAAAAAAAAAGGGAAGAGGTAATTATCAACAAATTTTCTCTAAGAAAAAACAGTATCACAATAACGAGGCAGGTCTCCACAATGCCCTACAATGATGATTAACTCACAAATACAATTATTTAAAACAATAAAGGACATATGCTCGTCTTCGAAATTGCAAAGTGACAAAATAAAACTCTCGTTTGAATACTGAAATATTCAGAAAAATTTGCAGTATCTCAATCGAGTTCATAACATTTTATCCGTCACTTCTGTGTTCAGTTCGAACAAGTAAAACTAAAAAATACAAGCATTCCCAGCACGTCTCTAAAGTTTTTATCACATATCTCGTTTAATATTTTTGTCATTTCGTACTGAAACCCTTATGACCTACTGTAATTACATAATTCAAAAAGGTTACTAGCCGTCAATACAGTGGAACCTCGTTTATTCGGACCTATGTTAATCCAGACTAAAGGTGGCTTAATCCAATAATCCGGACTATATTCTGTTAACTGCAACATTTTCACAAAGTTTCAACGTTCATAGATCTTTTGTAATTCAGAAAGTCAATGGCCGTGTTTAATGTAACCAAGCGGAAGCGTATGCATGCAAGTTGCTTTCTGCTGTCATTTACTAAACGATTGCGCTGATATTGAGCAGTTAAAAAAATCAACAAGCACAAATATTTTCGCTTTATCGCTTGCACTTGGTGTAAGCAGTTAATTTGCACTTGTGCGAATAATGTGACAACTCGATTTTAGGTTAGAATTATAGTATTTGAAAACTTTTTTGTATTTGTGTTAAAAAATTAAAAATGGAATAATTTGAAATTGAAAGCTTACTCCAGACTTACAAGGTTGTAGTGGCAGACGGCATCGCTTTAATAAATGAAAAAATTCCCTCGTTTACTGTTTTGGTCTTCAAAGTGCTCTACTGCTGTTAGTGTATTAATTTTTAAATTTGCTGTAAGTTGATTACAAAAGTCTACACAATCACAGTTTCTTTCATGCAATAGTAAAGGTGCATTTGCAAATAATACATTACAAGTATTTTCACAAAACATATCCATTATAACAACTTAGGTTATGTCATGATCTGTGGTTATGAATTCAACCTTCAAATAAACCGCGAGCCGCGAGCAAGCGTAGACAGATATTTGAACCGGTTTAAAGGAACCGCATGCGCTTGCAAGCGAACAGTTAAAGCGCTGCAAGCCAAGCGCTTGGAAAGCTTGATAACATTAAACACGGTCAATATGTTGAGCATATATAAAGTTCTTAGAGATAAAAGAAACCAGCACAATTTTAAGGTTATAAAACATGTGATCGTGATCAAAAGTTCGAATCACAGAAAAAGTTTAATTCATAGGGGAAAGGGGATTACCGATCCTGATAATCTGACATGATCCGGAAACAAGAAAACAACTGAACACGATTTTGAGATCATAACGCGTTCAGATCCGAAAATGGCACCCGAAAGAAAGCAGCTAATAGCCGTTTTCTTTCGCTTTCAGCTTTGAATGATGATCACCGAATCAGGATCAGACAAACACGAACTAGATCCATGAATCCAATTTCGAAGAGAACAGGATTTTGTTTACTGTTGACATTTGATTTGATTTGATTTTAAATATCGTTTAGGTATGTATACCTATTTTTGTGTACACAATTAAAATAAAAATAGTAGAAAAAAGAAACCACTACAATTTTAAGATTATATTAAATATGCGATCGTGATCAAAAGTTCGAATTACAGAAAATGTTGTAAGATACAGGAAAGGGGATTACCTATCCTGATCATATAATGTGACAAGATCCGGAAACAAGAAAACAACTACGAACATGATTTTGGGATCATAACGCGTTTAGATCCGAAAACGGCAACCAAAAGAAAGCAGCTAATGTGTCAAGAACTTAAATGATAAACAAATATCAATATTATTTCTTCTTCCAAACTATACAGCCATAAACCAAAATGTGATAAAAGACTTTCAGGCCAACCTAACAACAGCGAAGTGTTATTCCAAATTTCAAAAAGAAATCTTGGAAAGATTTGTGGAACTATAAGGAAGTTAATTCAGTGACTTCTGCTGATGATGACCTGCCTCTAATATCATTTGTTGATAAAAACAGTTCAAAAACAGGTGTACAAGTGAATATGAATATTGAAGAAATAACTTCCTTTAAATGAGGTAGGAAATAATACATCAACGCTTAAATCAAAGCAATGAGCGAAAAACAAGAGATGAAGATTCTTTATCAGATGGCAGAAGTTAGAAGAATATCCTGAAGAAAATGAAGGCGATAGAAACGACAAAAATGAAAATAATGCAGCTGTTCCCTGTTTTAATACCTGCTTATGGCAGGCTTACGAAAATAACGTCCAGCATTATCAAATATTACTGCTTCAAAAATTACATACATCTATGATACAGACTCAGTATTTTGTGAATTTAACCAATAATAATACAAATCCAGATAATGTTGAGCCAGCAAAATCTGAAATTATATCAAATACATGTTATACTATTGTATATACATGGTAAGTACATACAATACGACTTTTAAGATTTTTTTATTTTAATATCTAAATCTTGTAAATCAATACAAGAATAACAACAATTTGTTTTTTTCCTCATTTTTCATTTGTCATCTAAGATTATCCAGTAACCTCTCCTAGTCCCTACTTCAGACTGAGCCCAGAACAGATTACCGAGGTTCTACTGTACTCATTTTATGGAATTTCCAATACCATTTCCGGTATTGGCACACCGAAACACTTTGCGTCACATCTACATATCGAACGATAAAATAAAACCGATAAATAAGCGATGTTGACAGATTGCGTTTAAATTTACGAGATAAACAATAAAACTGAAACCATCTGTTGACGATAAATTATTATTGGTCCCCTACAGATGACATCGATTAAACGATTACATAATCGCGTATGTTTTATTTAAAGGTCCGTCAAGAAATATCTCAAAACGAATAAAGTACGTTCTATCTTGTAGGCATTCTATTTTCGTAACGTGGCCACACGAGTTTCAATAGGAAATCTGTTCCACATTTCGTGTGGAACTTAACCCACACACTTGATAGATTTAACCTCTCGAATGTTTTGTAAAAGAAACATGACAAATAATATCAGCTTATCAGCGCGTGTAACGTAATTTTTGCTCGACCCACTGAAATTACCTTAGAACTTAACCTGTCTGGCAACAATCACAGATCATTCGGGGGCAGTCTTGATGATTGCTTCCTTTTGATCCTCCAAGCTGGCGATGACGCTCTTCTGGGCCTCCGCCGGCTTCTGGTCGACGCTCGAACTCTCATTCACTACGATAATGGAAGAACTCTTATTGTCTTTGCACTCCGTCTCATTCTTCTCGTTTTCCACAACCTCCGGCTCCTTCTCGGGACTTTTCGCTCTCATACCTTCCAGTTCCTTCGACAGCTCGGCGTTCCTTAATTCTAAATCACTAATTTTATTGTCTTTAATACGGCTTTCCTGCACCACTTTCTCGTACTCCTTCGTTAAGTTCTTAAACAGTTCCAAAACTTTATCCCTAACATTACTCTCCACTCCTTTGAGCACCTCGTCGACTTTCCCGAATTCCGAATGTTTTTCTGAGGTTTCTGAGGCGCTGTCTTCCGTATCCGTCGACAGCTCGATTTCCGGGTTGTACTTGGGTAAAGTGGACGTGCTCTGGACTACGGAGACCGCCGACTCAATCACCTTTTCGGGAGTTTTCCGTTGCTCCTCAACGACTTCTTCCTTAATAGTCGATTCTACCTTCACCGGTGACAACGCTTCGGTTTTAATGGTCGTCGTGGAAGTCGCCACATCGCCGTTCCTGTATCTGTATTTCTTGGGGGTGGGCGGCGCTAACGCGACGTTGGGTTGGTAACTCCTCTCGAATCGCTCGCTTTCCGACATGAGAACCACTCTTTCGGGGTTCTGCAAGACGGGGGGATCGGTGGTGTATCTCAAGGTGTTGGCGTGCCGGATTTTCGACTCCTTGATGCTCTGCACCACCGGTTTGAAAGCTGAGATGTGGCGGTTGGCATTTGAGAACTCCTGAAGGCATTGGTGGATGTACAGGGGGTCCAGACTGGCGTAGATCTGTTGGATGCAGTTGGCGTGCTGCATGTTGTAGGGTATGTGGTTGAGGTTGTTGAGGTACTCGTTGAGTTTTTGCTTCTTCAGGGGCAGCTCGTGGTCTTTGAGTAGTTGCTCAGCGGTGGGGACCTGAAAAAAGAAAAATAGTTTGTAATAATTTGAAAACAATTTTTTTTTTCAATTATTAATTCTCATTCTAGTATGTATATTAATTCTGCATGAGGGAATACCGAGGGGAATACTAAATTTTTGGCAACATAATTAAGTTACTTGACGTATTTTATTCGTCTAGAACCAATGGTTTTCTCTATGGTGTACAGATTGACAGAAACTGCATAAGTACAATTTCTACATGAGATTCAATCATAGGTTGCACAACCAAATAATACTTTCTAGGGTCACCAGTCTTATTGTTAGTGAACCACATGGGAGAAATTATAATTTGGCCCCGGATTACTTTTCGAATAGTTTTAGTGGCAAAATTAAAAAAAAAATCCTGTATTTCCGTTTAAAGTTTGGCAAAAGTTAAATGAATTTAGGAGGGTTGAATTAGTTCAAGAGATGAATTATAAAATAACAGTACATACTCGAAATAAATTAAAGCGTAGCCAAAAATAAAATTCAGTATAGGAAAATTATTTCAGCTTTTTCTCAGACAAAAAACCTTTTAAGCAAAAATTGTCAAGATTCAGGAAAATTTCATAAAATCTCCAAAAAATCTAAGATCTCAAAACAAAACGCTGAAAACACGTATTAGGACCCGCTGAAAATGCTGCTGCCGTCAGGTTTTCTTTACACGAAATTTACTCAACTTTCGAATCTGACTTACGAAGCCTTTTACACTGCCCCCTATGCGCGGAAAACAGAAAAGTAGTTGCCGATGCCCGAGAGCATCTAATTAACCATCCCTGTGAAGCAGAAAACGCTGAACGGATATCGAAATTTTTAGCTCAGTTTCGAATTCAACCTCCGAAACTGCCCGTAGAGTGACAGTTTCGAATTTTTCTGCGAAAACACCAGAAAAGGTACGAAATTCTAGCTGGGATACGAGATCGAGTTATCTCCCATAAATGTAGACTAGAATACCAGTCAGATTCCACGACGGGAAAGTCGACAGTCACGAATGGCCTGAATCCAAAAAAGGCAGATATATGTAAAGATCCAAACCGAATAGCAATTCCCGAGAATTTGCGGAGCCATCCTGAAGTGTGATTGAATGTCGACTCTCCCAGTTTTGTAACCAGGACAGGGTTCCTGGTTTGCATTGTATAGTACCCCTTTACTTGCGACATAACCATATTTTGTAAAAAAATTACAATAAACATTTTCTCAATTCAGAACATTGCAAAAAATTTATTGTGAGTATACCGCTGGAGATTTAGACCAACCGTCTATCGTCCAATTCGTTTAGAAATTTCTGTACCTGCGACGAACACCCTAAGGGGTAAAGCCAGGTTTAAAAAGTAGTACCAAAAACAGTACAAAGACAGAAATAGACACAATAGCAATGGAAAAAACTAATCAAAGTGCAAATAGTCGTCACAAGTTGCAAATGTTAAAATAATTCAGTAGAAAACGGTTCATTTCAAAGCCTTTCTAAAAAACTACTGCCATACTGAGAGTGTATCCAGGATATTAAGCAAAATAATAGAGAGTGTGTCCTAGTCCCACCAGGTCCAAAACCAAAGTCCAGGTCTGAGCTTGGCAGAGGGCGCCGCAATGAAAAGGATCGGCAGAGAGGTCGAGATACGACAGTATAGTCTTTCCGATTCCGATCTCAATTGAAGAACCAAGAGGTTGGCAGTGTCTGGTCGAACTAAACGTGGAGGTGGTAGAAATGTATACGCCCAGTTGAAGAATGCACAGGGGGCAAACGGCATATAACACAGGAGCACTGGGCGACTGGGCAATAAATCTCAATTGTTGACAAGGGGTTGACAAATTGCCAAGCAGTGTAGTGCGGCAATGCGGAATTTGGTGAGATTCAGGTAATTTTAATGTATTATAGGGACCTTCTACCACTCATTCATATTATAATTGCGAAAGGGAGAAATAAGAAATAATATTTTGTTTACTAATATTATTACAACATGGCATTTTGGAGATCTTTTGAAACGAAACAAATCGAAATTTACCATCAATATAATAAAATTGTTTGAGGACATAAATAATTAAAATATGTTGTTGGCCAAATGAACATATAATAGAAATTTTCTACACATTATATACAAATTNAGCCTTTTACACTGCCCCCTATGCGCGGAAAACGGAAAAGTAGTTGCCGATGCCCGAGAGCATCTAATTAACCATCCCTGTGAAGCAGAAAACGCTGAACGGATATCGAAATTTTTAGCTCAGTATCGAATTCAACCTCCGAAACTGCCCGTAGAGTGACAGTTTCGAATTTTTCTGCGAAAACACCAGAAAAGGTACGAAATTCTAGCTGGGATACGAGATCGAGTTATCTCCCATAAATCTAGACTAGAATACCAGTCAGATTCCACGACGGGAAAGTCGACAGTCACGAATGGCCTGAATCCAAAAAAGACAGCTCTGCGAACGAAGCCTTCAAAAAAATTAAGAAAAAATACAAAATTATTTTTTCAATTTGAAACGTTATATAACAGGAGTCAAAGTACATATACATAGACAGACGATAGTATCTTGTTACAAGTACCTTCCTGCTGTGATAAGTGGCAAATTGGAAAGTCCGCCGAATTCCGTAGGATCCGACGCCGGCAAGCCGCAACCTGAACCGGATCAGCCGCTGCCTGCGTAATGTATTGATTTCCAGGGCGCTGAGCCGACCTTGATTCGAAGATGTATGGAAATAACCCAGTTATTAATAATTTGTTGTCGACGGGCATTTGTCGACGCGTAATCTACAAGCCACCCCTAGAGGCGGAAAGGGAAAGTCTAGCGAAACGAAATTGCCGAATGGAATATCTAGATATAAACAAATTCTTAGGGTAGAAGATTGGGATATTGCGGTTAACCCGAAATAACAAGTTTTGTTAATAGTTCTTGCCCGAAATCACAACCTGCTGCCAATTAACAGGTTGTGTTTTCGATCGCACTAAATGACGTTACAATGCATTCTCGATCAGGTGACAAAGTTTAAAACTGTAAACATCTATAGGGTGTTAGAAGTTTGACTGCCTTAATTTTAACAGACGATAGAATACATTAAAATAAACGAAAAATCTTATATGACAGGGGTCCTAAACTCAACCATTTCCGAGAAAAAAAAATTATCAAAATATCCAACGTGATGTATAAAAGTTCGATTAATTAAGGAATATTGACATATTGACATAATAAAAAATAGCGTTGTTATAAATTTAAAATTTGATAAAATTCATATCGGGCAATGTGACAAAGGCGCGACGGATAACACGAGGTATCTGGAATTGGACCGTGTCTGAGTGTTTTTTTCGAACCACTATTTCCTTTTCTTACGTGTTTTCCAGCTAGTGCGCGTATATAAGCATAGTTCGACATAACGTAGGTAGGTATGCAATTATTAAGAAGAATACCTATTTTCAATTTCTAAAATATTATTCTGCTACCCCTGTATCTTTACATTAATTATAAATAATCAAGCGCCGGATATATGTTAATTATGTTCGAACGAAATTAATTAATTGTCTAATGTTTATAAATTTACCTTACCCCAGTCTCAGGTACACGCTTGTACCTACCTGCCGATTGGGGCCGAGCGACCCGCGATCGCACACTACCGAAGGCCACAAGCGGGCGTCTCGACGCCCGGCGTCTCGGGCGTCCGTCTGGCTCAACTGTCGCCATACCTACTAGTGCGCGAAAATTGGATTCCAAGGTATCTTGCGTGCATCGAAAATGGTGGTGGACATTTTGAGCATATGTTGTAATTTGTTTTGTAGCTTAATTACATATTTTTCAAATTCATAATTTGATTAAAATTCAAATTCCTGTTTTAAGAGATTCATAATTACTAAAATTCGAGCTAAAATTTAAGCACGACACTACCTTCGTACTACGAAATCGATTATTATTATTATTATTATTTATTTAAAAACTGGAAAACGGTTGTCTTGAAATTTACTAAATGTTTCACAATGAATAATAGTTGTTTACATTTTTTCCGTAGGACAAGTGTGCCGCGTGCACACGTGGTATACATCAGATGTGTAGCGGTAGATTAAGCGTTGTTGTCAAATTGTGATGAAACTCCCAATACTCGCTGTATTTTCAAAACTGTTAATCTTAAGCACTTGTAATTTCCAACTTTTTTATTTATTTATAATTACTCTATCTCATACTGAAGTAATGGCAGTCAAACTTCTTAGACCCTGTATAATACTAGAAAGTGTCAAAAGTTTTTTTACTAATCACATGTGGATACACATGTCCGCAAGTGACCCATTTTAAGTATTACGTCAAGAGCGCCAGCTTGACGCCACCCAGATGCACCAGGGTTCCAGGAAAAGGTCCACGGCACATTAGCGCCAAGGACCAAATACTTATACCTGCGAGCGACTCCACACCACGAGGACTCTCTTTTGTCTGTAATTAGTTTTCAATAAAAATACTTTTATTTACCGTTGAGAGGGGTTTCATTTTGCTGCACACCGAACTTTATTGTTTACGGGATTGACTTAAAACGTAATCAATTTTGGTCCTGAAATCATATACATCAAACGCTCGTTTAAAATATCGATTTAAATTTTACTCAGGCATAAATTAGCACTTTGCCTGTCTGTCTGTAGCAGTAGCACACAGGCGAAGCCCTACTTCCAGCAGCCGAACTCAGCCATTCAGATAAGCGAAATAGGAGGAGTGACTTGTCTTTTAACGAGGTTGAAATATGACGTTTAAACTTGTTTTGATGGTGTTAAGAAACCAGGAGGCTTTTGAATTACCGTCTCGCTATTAATCATACGGAAGGGTATTCTCAGTGTGTTTTCTCTTAGACACAAAGAGGTTTATAAATAGGTGTATCGTAAATTATTATAAACAGTGCACAATACGTCGCGGGTTTTGGTAAACTCGCTTGGAACCCGTCCAAGAATGCCAAGACTATATTTATTCTGATGCCACACACCGGGTTGTGCAGCAATTGAAAATTAACACCTATATTGTAAAAATTT